ACTCCCTTGTTTCAGGGCTTTGCTCAAATGTTATTTTTTCAGTAAGCGCTTCCCTAAACACCCTATTTAAAGTAAAAACAACCTCCCCACACCCATAGGATGTCCCATCTCCCTTCCTACTTTATCATCATCTAACACACTTATTTTTCATGTTTATTGTCTCTCCAAAGAAAATGTAAGCTCCATTAGATAAAGGATTATTTTCTTTACTGCCATCTTCCCCAAGCCCAGAATACATATTTAATATTAGGTGCTTCATACTTAATGAGTGACTGAAATTCCCTTCTCTTGTCTTCCTTCTACTGACCTCCCTTTCAGTAGTCCACTTTCTCCTAGTCCCCGGTATCATACCTAAATTGCATCTGATCATTCTCCTGCCTAAAAACTTTGATGAGATCTTTACATCTGTCAGGGTCTGCACCCTAATTCACTGAAGCTTTTTTCTCATTCCCCAAAATATGTTGTACACGCACCACATACTAACACTTTTGCCAGCCTTGAATCTACCCTGCAATTTCATTTCTTCATGCTTTTCACATAATTCTGCCTCTGCTTGGCCCAGCTTTTCCTCAACGCCTCCCTGAAGGTCCCCCTGTACCACCACTGCACCCAGTTCCCACCTCCATTATACCTGGTGCTGCCCCTGTGTATTTATTGACCTGTTTCTCCATCTGGATCGTAAGATCCCAGAGAGCAAGTTCATGATGCTGTATTCAGATTTGTTTCCCCAGTGCCTACCACTGTATTTGGCACAGAAAAGTATGTTGAATGAAAATTTAATGAATGGAATTTAAAAGTGAATGAAATAGTTTGTAAGGGGCTAGGAAAAGAAAGATGTCTTCATTAAGAGTCAAGTGCTTTCCCACATCAAACCTGAACATTTTATATAATTTAAATTTTTTGCTAAAGAAAAAATTACTTTGGTAGAATCAAAATTAATTCATGATAGAGTTTCAGTTTTGCAAGATGAAAAAGTTCTGGAGATTGAATGTACAACAGTGTCAATGTACTTAACACCACTGAACTGTGAATTAAAATGGTTAAGATGGTAAATCTTGTTATGTGCATTTTATCACAATTAAGAATAAAATTAATTAATTAATAGCCTAGTGAGGGAAGACATTTATTTCAGTAAACATACTAATTTACAAACCAGATGTTGTGTAGAGCATCAAGTGAACTCTGATGTGGGAAAGGCATCTGCAATATTCAAATTAAAATTGCTGACTTATTAAAGTAGGAAGGGAGATTGGAAATAATCTAGTTCAACTACCCGATTTCACAAATAAGAAAAATAATCATGAAAAAGAACATCACTGAATTACAAGAAAAAGTGGAGTCAGAACCCAGGTTTTATGCAGAATGCAAGGCTCTCAAAATGCCAGCACACTACATCACAATTCAAGAGGGAGAGCCAGCACCTAATACATTACTTCCCTGTGCAGACCTAATGAAGAGGGAAAGAATGCTGCAGGTAGGAGCTTGCACACCTGGCTTTTCAATGAGGCTCTACCTGTGGGATCTCACGCCACTTAGGGCACACGGTAATGCAGCTACCTCAGAGGTGAATGCGAGAACCAAATAAAAGCACTAAGCCCCCACCATTCTGACTGGCTGGAGTTTTGTTGGTTTTGATTTACATGAGGAAAAAAAGCAGGAAGAGGTGGGAAAGAAGGTATGAAGGTCGTTCCTAACAGGCAAAGAAAGAATAACCACCTCCCAAAAGAAAGGATTAGCCATACCTCCTATCAACTCAAGACTGAGAATCATAAGCTCTTTAGCATACTTCAGAAAACCCTACAATAGTTACTAGCATTTATCTTTCCTACTCTCCTGTAGATGTGTCCAACTCAGGGACTCACAGTATTCAGCCTTTAAGAGTCTTCTGTGAACTCTGTTTTAATTGGGTCAACATCCAGCTGCCATATAAAGCTAGATGGCTGGAGTTGTGCCTAAGAGAACTGGATGAAAGGGAAGAGCTGAATGAATAAAGAGACAAGAATTTTATCTCCCTTTGGCCCCCCCCAACCCCCTTTCCACCTCTATCATTTATTTTTAAAGACTCAGGCAGAAGTCTTTCACTAACATTCCACATATCTACACATTTACTTGTAAGTATTTTTACGTTAATAACACTTTATAGAAATACAATGTTTTCATTCCAAAGCATGAAAATATTTAGAGAAAAGTACACCAAGTGGGTAATTTTTTAAAAAGCTAACTCATTTGGCAAACAAATCTTGTGCAAAATGTTCACCATATAAAACGTGCAAGAAAACATTTTTTAAAAAGAAAAAATTGTGCATTCTGTGAATTTCCATTTCCATTTAGCATCTCATGCTCATGTAGACTATAATAGTAATATTTTAATTTGTATAGCCAAAACAGTTGTAAATAAAAATCACAGATTTAACTTTTTTCTGTACTTAGAATATACCTTAATTTTCAGGAATGTCAGAAAAAGAATATCCTTGAGATAATGCCTAGCTCCAAATACCAGAATTCATCTATCTTCACCTTCTAATTCACAGAAACTTTTATTAAAGTATAAAATAAATATAATATGGGAGCACAAAATATTTGGGGGTTCCACAGATTAGTCCATTTCCCCCGCGCCTGGCAATTTCTTAAGAATCACCCAGGGAGCCTATTAAAAATACAGATTACCTCTAAAGACTCTGACTCAGTTGCTCTGGGCAGGACAAACGTCTTCATTCCTCAGAGATCCTGATAATTAGCTAAGACTGGAAAACAGTTATCTAGTACGGGGTTCTCAAGTTGGCACATATTAGAATTATTTGAGGAGCTTTTAAAAACCCCAAACACTGGCTAAAGCTGACATGGAAATGACATCAACACTTTTTAAGAAGCTCCCCAGAGATGGATGAGAACCTCTGATCTTGTAGAACCCTCGTATCAATGAAGAAGGAACTAGGCTTGCTCAAATTCACCAAGATAAGTGGTACCAAAGCGGGAGCTAGAACCATTTCTACTACTCCCTAGCTCACTTTGTCTTTTGATGTACTTGTTTCATTTTCATGCTGGTTGACAAAAATATGAAGATAAACCACCTTTTTGCCTCAGAATAATACTGCTACTTAACAACTGAATAAGTTGGAGCTGTTTCAGAAATTATTAGAAAATATTTTCTTAGTCCTAATATAAAACAAAAAGACTAAATATCACTGCTACTTAATCTTCAGTTCCTACTAGTTAATACATCTTACAAAGAATTCTTTAACCTTTTCTTTTTAACTTCTAATTCAGTATTTTACAATTTCAAACTTTTTAGTCTGGGATCACAGTTCCTTACTAGCAAAATTATTTCAATACCTGAATTTGGCGAAATGGTTTCTTCCCTACGTAGAATATATAACTGCACTTACTGAAGTGCTCTGTGAACAGAGAACACATTTCCTTCTTCCATACAAAAGAATGGATTTGGGGCTGCATTAGTAAAATCCCATCATTGGTTTGTCCACAGATATTCAGAGTAGGAAACTTCTCAAGATAGTAATTAACCCATTCCAAGAATTTTCTCATTTTAATAAAATAATGTAAAAAAAATCATAAAAAATGTGTCAAGTGCATTTTAGGAGTGTTTCTTTCTAAAAATTACTATATGTTTAATTGACTTGCCTTCTGGTGATGTACTTTTATTATTACAGTACCAAAGTGGAAATATTTTTATTCCTCTCAAGGTTGCCACCTATTTAGATATTTCAAATTTCTGTGATGTTTGTGATTTCTGCTTCTGAATTTTATAAAGAAGGGTCTGGAATGCTTTACCAAAAGCAGATCACATTACTCTATAGGGTGAACTTCAGCAATTTGCACAGTCTAGAGTACAATGTACACTGTTGACTACTTTATTCCCAAAGGAGCAATTGCCAGATTCTAGATTTTAAAATATTCTACCTAAGAATCAGATGCAATGGATTTTGCAATCACATTCAATGGATTCTAATAATTTTAAAGAAGGAAAGCTCTCCCTTTTTCTTAATCTTTAAGATACCAATGTAGTCATGTGCTGCTTAACTCACGGGGATACATTGAGAAACACCTTTAGGTGATTTCCTCATTGTGTGACCATGAGTGTGAACTTACACAAACCTGCACGGTACAGTCTACTGGGATTGTATGTGCTATTGTATGTCTACAGGGCTGGCAGCGCAGTGGGTCTGTTTATACAACAAACACGTGAGCAATGCCTTGTGCTATGACATTACCGCTACATCATGGGCCGACAGTAATTTTTCAGCTCCATTATCGTGTAATCTTACAGGCCCAGTGTTGTATATTTGGTCTACTGTTGACCCAAACGTCAAAATGCGGCGTTAAGACTGTAAAAACCCAACCCAAACTTCAGTTTGTGATGTAAAGACCTCTAAAGCCCGCAAAGCACGCAAACTATTAAATGGAACCAAGAGCATGCCTCTAAAGGCGTAGCAAAAATAATAAAATCAGAATCTGTTAAATGTTCCAACGAGATATAGTCTTCAGAAAACTGGGCTAGATGGGGTAAGCCATAGGGTTTTCACTTGAGAAAACTGCTGCTACACTAAGGTTGGCGAAGCCTAAGTAGTTTGTGTCAACATTTTTAATGTGAAACGTGCCATTTCAAATACATGGCCTTTCGGGGTTGCTTAAAAATTTCCCTTAAAAAAAAAAAAAGCCAAACATGTTTATTTTTAGGTGTGCTAGGTAGGGTACCAGTCAAAGACAACACCGGTTATTACCAATTCGTGGCGGACCCGGGCTGGACCTGGCCCCAGCCCGGGGCGGGGGTCGCACGTGCGAAGGGCGGAGCGGGGGCCGGAAGGACCCGCGCGCCAGGCAGGGACGGGACAGAAATGGAGGGCGCTAGCCTCCCCGCGGCCGCCAGCCCAGCCTCCCAGGGCGCGCCTTGCGCTGCGGCCCCGGAGACATCTCGGTCATGCAGGGCCCGCCCGCCCCCGCCCAGCCCTCTCCTCCGACACACAGACAGACAAGGTTCCGACCTGCCGCGCCCTGCGTGTTCACAGTCTGTCATGTTTGGTCAGGAGCGGGGCGGGGCTGCGGGCCGGTCTGCGGGGCTCGGGACCCCGGCCGGCCGCCCGCCGTGACGAGGCGGTAAAAACTCACGGTTACTAGTGAGCGACACAGACACAGACTTTCCAGTCTGTTAACAACCACGCCAGAGAGATGCGCTCTCTGCAAACACTGGGCGCGGCCGGCGCCGCCGCCGCGCTAGTCTCTACTCGCCGCCGGCGGCTGAGGCTCGGGAGCCGGCGGGCGGGCGGCGCGCCGCGACGTAGGGGTTTAGACAGTGGCCGTGGCGGTGACTGCTCCTCACCCACATGGCGGCCCCAGGACGGCGCTGGACAAGATGGCGTCGCGCTCCAGCCCGGGACTAGAGGCGCGAGATCCCTCCGCGCGCCGCGCCGCGCCCCGCCCGCCGGCGCGAGTGCGTCGGCCATTGGAGGACGCAGCCCGTCAATCACCTGCGGGGGAGGACCCCGCCCTTCTCTGCGTAGCGGCGGACGCGGCTCAGGGCAGGGAAACGGCCGTCAGTCCGCGACCGGCTGCTCTTGGTGGTGTGCTGTCTTCTGAAGGCGAGGGAGGCCGGGAGGCGTCCTGACAATTAGCCTCCAAAGTGGTTTCCTGGTGGGGACTGGGTGGGATAGTAAAGAACGCACGCTGTTCACCTGTCGTTTAAAAAAATCTTTGTTGTTTAAATGATGGAGAAATGTATTTTCTCCGAGTTTGCAGCGAATCTCTTAATGTTCAGTGCTCAGAATCGCGTTTTGAGCAAAGAAGGTACCTTGACGTGTAACTTTTTCTCATATTTGATACTAAGTTTATAAATCTGGTTATTAAATAATAAAAGAAAAACAACTATTAAGAAAATCAGGGCTGGCCCAGTGGCACGTTAAGAGCTGGCTTGGGACTCCAGCTCTGAGAAGTAGGGCTCCGGTTCGGATCCCACATGGGGGCCAGTGACAGTGCCCTCTACAGCTAAGATGGTGAACAACAGCTCCACCTGGAGCTGGGCTGCCATGAGTCCCCGGTGATGGCGTGGGCTGCAGCCCCTGCTGCGGTGAGCTAATGTGAGCCGTAGTGAGCAGCCATCCAGAGGCCAGCGACCCATCTGCCTCTCCCGGGAAGAGCGCAATGCCGCAATGATACATACCACCATGGGCCAGTGAAGCAATGACCTCCACAACTAGACTGAAGAACAAAACGACAGCAACTTGTCTGTTCCCCTTCCCCGATTCCGCAGCGCTGTTCCCCTCCCCCAATTCCCCAATAAAATCTTTAAAAAAAAAAAAGAAAATTATATAATCCTTACATTATTTTGTAAGCTAGTGACACGTAGAAAATAGGCGGTTAGCTTATAAATAAAAACTGGCGATTACATTTCTTTACATTTAATGAACGTGATCTAAATTTCATTATGACTAGTCAGTGTTTTGGCCTATTAAGTGTATTGCTTAGTTCTGGAGGACAGTTCCTTGCTTTTGTCTTTGCTTAGTGTGAAGGAAAAGGTGACATTTAGGCTCAACAAGTTGGGGGAGGGGAGGGGGGACGTGGCCGACTTGGCAAACTGGGTGATTGAAAGTAACCACTCAAGGGGGTGTGATCACAAGTCACTAACTGGGCAGGTCATGGCTGGTAGTCACCACCCAGGCTTGCCGCTTCCTGTCCATTGTTCTTACTATCTAGGATGACACACCTTTGAAATGTCAGAGTAATCTTTTCCTATTCCTGGAATAAACAACTGCTGGCATCAGGGCACAAGACTACACACCCCCTCATTGTTATCTTGTTGCCAGCATACCTTACCTGCTGGAAATGTGTTAACTGACCTATACCCGCCCATGTAAAAGAAGTCTGTTTCACCACTTTGCTTTCTATCCAATCCTAGGCATTTCCAGGCTTTGCTTCCTCCCACCTCCCTCATCTACCTCCAGTGATTTTCAGCACCTTCCTTACAGTCTCTCCTTTGATTCTAATGTATAAAAGGAACTGGAGAACTGGCCACTCTCCGGAACCCATTTGTCCTAGCTTCATCTCTTCCTGTGGAAATGAAATCAGTGCTGAGCTCAACTATGTCCCTTTCAAGAAGCCTTTCTAGCCATGTGCTGTCTTGTCCTTTGAATCCTCTTAGCACTTGGTACTTTTTAATGGGATTTTCTGCCTAAAAGTTGTGTTTATTTTAAGCCCACTAGATGACAGCGAGTCTAGACGTTACGTGAGTAGTCCGCATTTCTATTTATGTGGAAAATCCCGTTAGTACTTGTCCGGGAGGGCTGCTGTGAGCATTAGGTGAGCTGAACATGAAACACGCCTGCTGTACAGTGATCTCTCAAATCAATGTTAGCTGTTGCTATCACTTCTTAGGAACATTGGGGTGTCCATCAAAAGAAGAATCTTAAGGACCAGCCTAAAAATTACAGCAAATAGCTGAATAAACGGATAGAGAAGCGCAACAAGAAGCATAGAATTACGGCGGAACCGCTGAGGATAGAAATACGCGTGCGCAGTGAGGCGAGCGCGCGTGCGCAGTGGAAGCGGGTGGCGCATGCGCGGCCAGTTTGCGCAGCTCCTGGTCTTCGTTTTCTCTCTCCACTCAGGCCGCAGTGGTTGTCATTCGGAGGCTGCCTCGCTCTCCTCCGGGGGGATGGATTTTGAGAATCTTTTCTCCAGGCCCCCCAACCCGGCCCTCGGCAGGAAGCAGGCCACGGACTCCGATAACAGGTGATGCCCATTGTTTTCATGCTCTGAGCGTCGGGCCTTCAGCCGGTCCCGCCCCCTCGCTCCTTCAGGACTGGGGCCGGGAGGTCGCTCGGGACTCGGGGGCGTGGTCGCAGCGGCCTGAGGGCGTGCGTGGAGCGGCGGGGTGGTGCGCTAGTAGAAACCGGAGGTGCGGGGTCTGGGCGGAGCGAGGGGCGCCGGGACGCTCACCTTCCTCCTGGAGGGTAGGAGCCTCCTGTGGCCCCATAGCACGTTGTGAGCTCCTCGAGGAGGGAAGTCTTGTGTCATTTCTCACCTACACGTACTAGGCGCTTTTCTGTAGAAAAGATGGGGAATAGTGTGCCTTTGCTCAGTTGTTTGCATCAGAAAACCCGAAAGACCATCATAAAGCAGCCAACACTATTTGGATATATTGGGTTGTCGGAAAAGTCATGACTTACTTTTTCTGTTTTTTGTTGCAAAAATGCATCATGACTTTTCCGACAACCCAATAGTATTTCCTTTAGGTTGAAAAAGGAACTGAGACGCTGGCCAGATGGCGCTGATTTATTGATTCTCACCCAGATATCCATTCATTTTTATCCCTGTGACTTTGAAGTGCTAAAAACCATATCTTCTTCTAAACCTGCGTCTTTGCCCCAATTTCTCTAAGCCAGGGGTCGGCACACTTTTGAGACGGAAGAGCCAATCCTGTCCCTTGAAGTTTTGCGACACCTATAAAACAAGTGAAATAACCATTATGTGAATAATATCCTTTAAAATTTTTATAAATAAAACTATGATAGTTTTATTTTCATTTTTAATTTTATTTCTGAGCCTCATGTACGTACCCAAAGAGCTGCGTGTGGCTAGAGCCACAGTTTGCCAACCCCGCTCTAGAGGGTTGGCAAAATGCAGCTTGCAAGCCACACGTGGCTCTTGGGGTACAGTCCATCTCAAGTTTGCCAACCCCAGGAAGAACCAATCCTGTCCCTCACAGCAATTTAAAAATTATTCGAGAGCCATAAATGTGTTTTTACATAATCACCAGTATGTGAATAATAGCCTTTAAAAGAACCCTGGCGGCTCTTCTGTCTCAAAATTTTGCCGATCCTTGCTCTAGACTATAACCATGACATATAGCCTTTATTCCTTTATTTCTCTCAAACTTGATAAATCTCTTATTCTGGTTGACTTTATTTCTTGAATATCACTCAAATCTGTTAACTTCTGTCTCAAACGCCTTAATTGAAACTATTCTTTTAATTCAGGCTACCATCAATAGCTTTTCTACATTATGCAAAATAGGTCATTTCCTCTTCACAGCAATCTTAAAAGATATTATCCGTATTTTTGTAGATGAGAAAGTTGAGGCACACAGAAAATAACTTGCCAAGATTACACAGTGTAAGTAGCAAAACTAGGATTAAGTTACTCAGCCTTACTCCAGGGCACGTGATTTAATCACTGTGCTCCTAAGGCAAAATGACTAACATAAGATCTATAAATACTGAAAAGAGACCAAGACATTAATTACCTGTAGGTGATATGATTGTCTACAGAGAAAAACAAGAGGAATCAAACTGCATAAGACAAATTAGCAAGGTGAATCATCACAAAAAAGACATAGCGACACATAAAAAAACCAATAGCAGCCATCACTTTGAAAATGTGTTGGACAGAAGAGTCCATTCATAGAAATTTTACTGAACTACTTTTATGTCCTTTTATGACACTTGAATATTTGCCAAAATGTCAGGTGAAGAATGGTATTGCCTTATGGTTATAGTGAGTAAGCATCTGTGACCACTAACTCATTCATATCCTTTGCCCAGCTTTCTCTTTGTTGGTCTTTCTCTTTAAAATTTTAGGATGTCTAGTCTGCAAATATTTCACCCCCAATTTATTTGCCTTTTGACTTTGTCTGTGGCATTGTTTTCTTTTTTTTTTTTAATTGCTTAGTACTTTTATTTATTTATTTTTTTAAATTGGGGAATTGGGGGATGGGAACAGCGCTGGGGAATTGGGGGAAGGGGAACAGACAAGTTGCTGACCTTTTGTTCTTCAGTCTAGTTGTGGAGGACATTGCTGCACTGGCCCAAGTTGGCACCATCATTGCGCTCTTCCCAGTCGAGGCAGATCAGTCGCTGGCTTCCAGATGGCCGCTCACAGCGGCTGCTGGCTGCACATAGGTAGCCCATGGCAACCCACTGCAACAGGGGCTGCTGCTTAGGCCATTTCCGGCGACTCACGGCAGCCCAGCTCCAGGTTGAGCTGTTGTTCAGCATCTTAGCTGTAGAGGGCAGTGTCACTGGCCCTCACATGTGGGATCTGAACCGGGGCCGTCTGGCGTCCCAAGCCAGCTCTTAACCAATGCACCACTCGGTCAGCCCTATGGCATTATTTTCAATGGGTAAAAATTTTTTGTTTGTTTTAAATGCAGTCAAATGAATCNCCAGCTCTTAACCAATGCACCACTCGGTCAGCCCTATGGCATTATTTTCAATGGGTAAAAATTTTTTGTTTGTTTTAAATGCAGTCAAATGAATCAATCTACTATGGTTTCTGGGCTTTTTCCCTAGTAATTTTATGATGGAACTACTCATTTATTGAGCATTTTCTGTGTACGAGACATTATTCTCAGCCTTGGGAATTGTT